CGCGCCAAGAGCCAAAAACTCCAATTTACAATGTTTTTGTGCCTTTGGCATGGAAAAAGTACTTCTTGCAACATGCTGAAAACTGCGTAAAGACATGTAAAGACCAGTGTTTTTGCTAGGCACTGATCAAAATTATAAAAACCGTGATTTTTGCTACCAGAGGCCAAAAAAAAAGTAAATACTGCGGTTTTGGGCTTCCGAGGCGCCAAAGGCATCGGTATTTGCGATTTTATTATGCTCCGAGTGTCCCCGAAAAAAACATGAAAACACCATCATACACCACCCCTATTTGATGATTTTGGGCCACTACAAGATTGACAAAAAATACAGGGGTAGCAACAACAACAACAACAACAACAACAACAACAACCAAGAACAAGAACAAGAAAAAGCACAAAAATGCGACAAAAAGACGTGTGGTAAGATGGTTACGCGCTGCCGTATGAAAAGAACATCACACTGTGCTCTGCACCTGCCCGCATGCGCAAAGCACATGAACAACACCTTACACTACTATATACATAACCCTTATAGCCCTATAGCATCGCCGGTGTGAAGCTCTACAATAAATATATATATATATATATATTTATTTATTTATTTATATATTTATATATTTATTAATATATATATATATATTAATATATATATATATATATGTATATATTTATTGTACATAGGATATCATTGCATATGATTGGTGATTTTGGGGGGGCGGTCGATTCCCATATGTTTGAACGGAATGCAAATATGCTATGGATACATCATTATAAATCTAAGATAATTAGACTAGAACGCGATACAACTGAAAAAGTAGTGAGAATATGATGTTTGGGTTTCTCAAATGGAAAAGGGATAGTTCCCAAACATTGTCTGTTTGAACGGGGGCGATGGTGAAAAACCAAATGGATTTTCGGGTCCCCTATCTTCAGCCAGACCAACAATATCATATATATGTTGAGATGTTGATAGATGCTGATAGATGCTGATAGATGTTGATCTACATACAGCTGTATCTATCGCGCCAAGGCTATAAACACAGCTTGAGGACGCACAGTGGATGCAACTTCACGCTGGCCACTCACCATGGTACATATCGCTAGAGGCCCATTGTTGGACCTGCGGCTTTGGGTACCTTGTCAAGGTGGCGGCCAGCTCTTGCTTGCCAGTACACAGATTTTAGGGCTATGCGCCCACTTGAGAACTGAGAAACAAAATGAAGATCACCAAGTCTCAAGACGACTATGTTGCCTGCATGGGAACCAACTGATCAAGTAACACCCTTAAAAGCCGAAGGTCGAATGCCTACGCCATGCATGACCTTCAGATAGGTTGCCTCAGAGAACGGACCGGAACAGGAAAAAATTGGGCCACATCAGCAAACCACAGATCTTCAAATGAGGAGGATGATTTACCCTCGGATAGTTACCATAGCCGTGGAAGCCATGGTCCATTTAGCTCGATGAGCCAACCGATTTCCAATTAGAATGTTGTGGTAAACCCAATAATAAGCCATCCCGCTAACCATGTGAGGGCAATGATAGATCATCCCTAATGAAAGTATACGGTATACCGGTATACCCAATGTCATAGACCTCAAACTTGGGGAGGGTGACTGTGGCAGATTTACTGTACCAGATTACTTCACCAGTCCCAATCCAAATCATTTCGCCAGCCAACTGATTTCATCATTCCACTTGGAATTTTTCCATACTTTCCCAGCCCCAATCCCAATCCCGTCCTCAGAGTCAAAGGAACCAAAAATTTGGCCAACTGATGTTGATTGATTCCCAATTAGTTTTCCATATTTATTTCACCAGGACCATCCTCCCCATCCGTTTACCATGTTATATTTCTTTCCATCTACTTTCCAAGCCCCAATCCACCCAATCCATCCATTCCCATCCCTATCTCTCGCCACGTTACGGTGGACAGCAAAATGGGCAGCAGCAGTGCCTTCTCGGCGTGGCGACACGTGGAGCACTGCGCTGACTCCCAGCGCGACGCCGCAGCGCCGCAGTTGGGATCCCAGGGGCGGCCCTCGCAGGCGACGGGGTCGGGGCCCCGGCACGCTAGGGCGCTCCTTGGATACACGGATGGCATGGGGAGGGGAAGCGACAAATTGATATGTATGTATGTATGCATATAGATAGATAGATAGATAGATAGATAGATAGATAGATAGATAAATAGATAGATAGGTAGATAGAAAGATTAGGTAGATAGATAGATAGGTAGATAGATAGATAGATAGATTTATATATTTACATAAATACACAGCTATATTTACATATATGTATTTATATGTATATCTATATACATATATGTATATATACATATATGCACTTAAAAAGATATAGATAAATATAAATATGAATATGTGAACATGAACGAATTTACATATATATATATATATTTGAATATGTATATATGTATTGAGGAAAAAAATATATACATATATTTATTTATATATATATGAGTAAATATATATATAATATGATTTTTTGTGTAAATATACATGTATATGTATGAATATAGATACAAATGAATAAATATATATATATATACGTAAACATATAGAAATAATTGAATATCATTTAATATTAATAGGTGAAAAAAAAATAAATATGTACAAAAAGATTTGTATATATGAATATCTAAATATATATGAATATGTATGTATATATATATATATATATTTCATTTTTACATGTATATATATATACATATATATATATACATATAAATACATAAATATTATATATATACATACAAGATATTTATGTATGTGTGATTTTTAAAAAAATGTATTTACAGAAATGAATATATATATATATATATTTAAAAAAAATGATTATATATAAATATGAATATTGAAATAAATATATCGATGAATATACATAAATGTATATATATAATTTAAAAATAAAATATATGAATAGATATATATATATATATAAATGAAAAGACATGAATATATATATGTATATGTATATATATATGTATATAAATAAAAATGTATCTGTATGAAAAAATATATATATGCATGTAAACATATCAATATATGTATATATATTTGTTTTCCTCCAAAAAAAGCGAGTATATGTACATAAACGAAAATAGAGGTAAATATGTAAATATGTGACTAAAAAACAAAAGAATATATATATATATATATTTAAGATATGAGCATATATATATATGTATATCTATACATGGGTATTAAAAACATATATACATATTTGAATATTATATATATGTATATAAATATATATTTGAACATATATACATATATATGGGAATATTTACATAAAAAATCTAACATATATTTACATATATACGAAAAAATTTACATATATTCATATATATATATAAATGAATATAAATATACATTTAAATGAATATATATATATACGGATAGAAATACATATATGAATATATATATATACATAAATGAATATATACAAATATATTTGTATGAATATATATATTTATATTAAAAAAATGAATACATATATATACATATATTTTTTTAAAATATATATGTGAATATATATATATTCATATATATATTCAAATGCATATATAGATATACTTATATAAATAGACTCATAGATATATATGTATATATTATATTCGTATATACATATAATATATATATATGCTTAAATGGTAAAAAAAAGATTCATATAACTTAAGCTGACAAATATACACATACATTATGATTTATTGAAAGTCTCTACAGATTGAAAAGTAAGAAAGAAACAGTGCCTGATTCTGAGATGAAGAATGCCTGCGCCAACAGCCTGGCAGCCTTCCCCTCTTGGTGAGAACATGTTCACTTGTCTGGGGCAATCTCTGGACTTCAAGTGATTAACTGCTATCCTTGTCCAATGGTTGGGATTGGTAAAAACAAACCTCGTTTTGTAAATGGTTTCTGGGTTGGGGGCCCAGATTGAGAAATAGGTTCCAGGATTTAAGAAAATAGTTTCTAGGATTTAAGAAAGAGTTTCTAGGATTTCAGGAATCGTTTCTGGGATTTAAGAAAGAGTTTCCCGGATTTAAGAAAGAGTCTCTAGGATTTAAGAAATAGCTTCTGGGATTTAAGAAAGAGTTTCCACGATTTAAAACATAGTTTTTGGGATTTAGGAAATCGTTTCCTTTCATATTTGCATCTTAGGGGTTAGGCTGGTAGACTCCGAAGAAACGGAACTCCCCAGGCTCCCCCAGCAGACTTGGACAAATAGAGAACAGTTCAGGCACACACCAGTCCGGACTTTTGGGGGAAATCCCCGACTTGGGCATCCTCTGAGGTGTCCCAAATGCCATGTGGCAAAGGCCTGCTAACAACATCCCCCAACTCACCCGCAAAGGCCATCAGCCACATGGGTTTTGTTTAGGGAACTTTTTTTGGATCCCACAACTTATGATTATGGGTATCGCGTGTGGAAGTAGTCGCAGCGTTGCATGGTGCACTTGGCAAAAACTGCATTGGGACAGGGTATGTGTATATGTTGCTGTTTGATACACCCTTTCCTGGGTTGAAACAGCATTACAACTGGTATGGCGCGATAGTACTCCCAATTGGATTCTAGGTGGTTTCAAGTTTCAAGCGTCAACAGCTTCAGTGTGGTGAACCATGGGTGAAAGAGGTTCTGGTACTGTTAAACTGGCATGTGGGGTAAAGACATTAGTTCTGTCTCACCACAAACTACCGTTGGCAAACGCGTTCCAAGATTGACCATGTTTGCCCTGACAACATGGTCAGTAACAACTGGTACTTGCAAATATTGCCCCTTTGATTCAAGTAATGGTTCCTGGGAAATCAACATGATTAAGCACATGGTTTCTACATTTTCTACTTTGTTTGAAAAAAAAAGGTTTGTACAGATCCTACTTATACCGCAACTGGTTTCTAGTATTTAGCAAATGGTTTCTAGTATTTAGCAAACGGTTTCTAGTATGTAGTACACCGTTTCTAGAAATTAGCAAACAGTTTCTAGTATTTAGCAAATGGTTTCCGGAATTTAGCAAATAGTTTCTAGCATCTAGCAAATGATTTCCAGAATTTAGCAAATAGTTTCTAGTATTTAGCACATGGTCTCTAGAATTTAGCAAATGGTTTCAACCTGTGCAAGAAATAGTTTCTGAATTTTACAGAAGTGGCAAATAAAGAAGCCAACGCAATCCAAAATATATATGTATATATACATATGATCCAGGATGGCTGCTTAAAAAATTGAAAACGAGAAAACACAGAGAAAAGAAAGGATAGACGAATGACGATGTTAAGACCAATCACTTGATTGGTTGACGAGTGGGTGAGTAAAAACCATGAACAAATACAAACAATTGCATGAATGAGGCTGCCTTGAATAAAAAAATGCGACGCTTCCAAAAGTGGCACAATACATGTCTTTAATGATCAAAAACATTGGGGACGGTCATCAATCCATTTGCGGGGGTTGGTATACCCATTCATTGGGAGACCCCATTCATGGTGGGATGACCTGTAACTTGACCACGGTACATGGAAAACCTCCATGGTATGGCCGGGATCTTCTAAGAACAATTGCATGTGGCTGCTGAGGCTCGACTGAAAACACTTTGGCGGTTGTCACGCCCAAACCACAGACTCCTTATTGCAGAAACGTGGAAATGGAAAATCGTAGTTCTATTGAATAAGTATGGATATGTGTAGATTCTAGATGACTAATCCTAGATCGTCAAAGAATCATACATACACTTTTATGACTTATAGACTTATATCTACAAATCCCAGTTCCTGAGCAATTTCCAGCCATCAGCACTTGCTTGCCGAGACAAGGGTCAAAGGAATACATCGGTCAGTACCTGGCGAAAAAATCCATTAGAAGATCGATTGGACATCCCTGGTTACATTACATCACATTACATAACACTTCACTACACTACGCTACACTACACTACACTACACCACATTACATTACATTACACTACACTACACTACACTCATTCCATACTTTACATCACATTACATAACACTTCACTACACTACACTACACTACACTACATTACATACACTACATACATTACATACATTACATACATTACATCACAGTACTTAACATTACATAACATTACATACCATTACATCACAGTACATAACATTACATAACATTACATACCAAGACACCACATTACATCGCATCGCATACATGACATTACCTACATGACATTGCATTGCATTGCATTGCATTGCATTAAATTGCATTGCATTGCATTGCATTGCGCTACACTACATTACATTACATGACATTACATTACATTACATCGACACATACATACATGACATACATACATAGATACAATATAACATAACACAACGAAACTTAAGGTAACATAACATTGAATTACATTACAAAACAACACACAACAAAACAAAACCAAAAAAAACAAAACCAACCAACAAACAAACAAACAAACAAAAAACATACATACATTACATACATACATTACTTTCATACATACATACATACATACGTACGTACGTACGTACGTACGTACATACATACATACATACATACATACATACATACATACATACATACATACACGTACATACATACATACATACATACATACATACACACATTACATTACATTACATCACATTACATTACATTACATTGCATTACATTACATTACACTACATCACACTACATTACATTACATTACACTACATTGCATTACATTCCATTACATTGCATTACAATACATACACTACCATACATACATACATTACTTTCATACATACATACATACATACATACATACATACATACATTACTTTCATACATACATACATACATACATCCATACATACATACATACATTACATACATACATACATACATACATTACATTACATACATACATACATACATACGTAACATACGTAACATACGTACATACGTAACATACGTAACATACGTAACATACGTAACATACGTAACATACGTAACATACATACAATACATACATACATACATACATACATACATACATACATACATACATACATACATACATACATACATACATACATACATACATACATACACACATTACATTACATTACATCACATTACATTACATTACATCACATTACATTACATTGCATTACATTACATTACACTACATTACACTACATTGCATTACATTCCATCACATTGCATTACAATACATACACTACCATACATACATACATTACTTTCATACATACATACATACATACATACATACATTACTTTCATACATACATACATCCATACATACATACATACATTACATACATACATACATACATACATACATTACATACATACATACATACATACATACATACATGCATACATGCATACATACATACATACGTAACATACGTAACATACGTAACATACGTAACATACATACATACATTACATTACATTACATTACATAACATTACATAACATTACATAACATTACATAACATAACATCACATCACATCACATCACATCACATCACATACATACATACATACATACATACATACATACCTTCAAATATTCACGTCACATCTTCACATCCTCACATCTTCACAGCTTCTCATCTTCTCATCTTCACATCTTCACATCCTCGCATCTTCACATCCTCACATCTTGACATCTTCACATCCTCACATCCTCACATCCTCACATCTTCACATCCTCACATCTTCACATCTTCTCATCTTCACATCTTCTCATCTTCACATCTTCAAACCCTCACATCTTCACATCCTCACATCTTCACATCTTCACATCTTCACATCCTCATATCCTCACATCTTCACATCCTCACATCTTCACATCTTCACATCTTCACATTCTCTCTTGCCCTCTTGCTCTCTTGCCCTCTTGCTCGCTTGCCCTCTTGTTCTCTTGCCCTCTTCTTTTTCCTTCTTTTCTATTTCTCTCTTAAGGTGCGGGCGGGGCAGTGCCAACGAGACGGCACGAAACGCAACCCTTTCGCACGAAACGAGCTTCGATCGCCAAAAACTGCTTTGAAATTGGGATTTTGAGTGTGCCGCGACAACCTTTTCACACGAAACGAGCTTCGATCGTCAAAAACTGCGGTAAAATTGCGAATTTACAACCTTGGCGGCAACCATTTCGCACGAAACGAGCTTCGATCGCCAAAAACTGCGTGAAATTGCGATTTTACAACTTCGGTGGCAGCCATTTCGCACGAAATGAGCTTCGATCGCCAAAAACTGCGGTGAAATTGCGATTTTACAACTTCGGTGGCAACCATTTCGCACGAAATGAGCTTCGATCGCCAAAAACTGCGATAAAATTGCGATTTGACAACTTCCGCGGCCTTTTTTGGGGTGCCAACCCAAATGCAACCTTTTCGCACGAAACGAGCTTCGATCGTCAAAAACTGAGGTAAAATGGTGCTTTTTGTACGACGACATGGCATTGGCGGCCGAATGTTCTGACTCATACGTTTTGATGTCCAAACGTGTAGTAAACTTGCGATTTCGCAAGTTTGCGCGCAACCTTTTCGCACGAAATGATGGTCGAGTGTCAAAAACCGAGAACTCTCATGAGGTGAGCGCAACCCTTTCGCATGGTTCTTGGAGGTCGGCTCGTATGTGTTTGTCATGGTTGTGTGTGTGTGTGTGTTTCTTTGCTGTCTGTCTCTGTCGGTCTCTCAAATTTTGTGTCTATCTTTGCCTGCTTCTGCTCAGAATCTGACATAGCATTTCTATCTCCTTTCTGCTGATCATCTGAATCATCTTCAATGAAGCTTTCACCTACAATGTCTTTGGTACTACTTACAAGAGAGTAACATGCTCTTCTACGCTCTCGGGCCATCCGTCGTCTAGTTCTTCTATAAATGTCTATAAATCTGTGGGAGCCTGTAGGATTTGTTTCTTGTCTTTTTGGGGGTGCTGAAAATGGGATATACATGGATATACTTCCACCAAGCCAACCCAACCCAAGTCCCACAGTTCCAGCCTGACCAGTCGGGATTGAAGGCAGGCGACAGCAAGGGCCCCTCCGCGATACACACGAAGCGCATACCGAGGAAACTTTGCTCCTCTTGGTTCTCCAGCGTAATCCTCAGGGAATGCCATCCTACAGGGACGGAAATACGGTGGATGGAAGAAATCCTGCACCAGTTGATAGATGGTTTATCCCATTATTTATAGGCTTTCTACTCTACCATACCAGGTGGTGCAGGATTTCTTCCATCGACAGTATGTCACGATCACCAAACAATGACACTTGGGTTTAAAGTGGTACGACCAAGAATAATCATGGATCAAAACCTATCATATACCGTGATCGGAGGGGATGTAATGCTGTGTTTTTTTGCGAGAAATAATATATACATGTATATATGTATGTATATATATATATATATATACATACAACATTGCATTACATTACATTACACTACACTACATTACATTACATTACAATACGATACAATACAATACAATACATTACACATTTATGTGTATGTATGTATATATATATATATATATTAATACAGTATATGTTCTGTATCTTGGGATTTTGTTTTCACTTGAATTTGATGACCCAATAGGACCTTCAAACATACTGGGTTCTGCCAGCACGGCCTGACGTGAAGCTAGCAGCCAGTTCATTTTTTTATGTAAATGAATACCCGACTTACGGTAAACGCTAACAGAAAACGATGGAAAGATCCACCATGTTCAAAGGGAAATCCACTATTTCGACTGGGCCATTTTCAATAGCTATGTAACAAACTACCAGAAGGTAAATGAATCATCCGAATAAGATGACATGAATCCGAAAATGGGACACATGTCAATGCTACGGGAAGAATCTATTTTGTGCAGAAACCAATGGCTGATGATATCCCTTTTGGATCGTCAGCAAAGTGTCCCCCATTCTGGCAACTTACACCGCTGATTTCATAGGGAACAATCTCCCAACAGTTAGATACATGATTCCCAAAAACATGTTTGGTTTTTCCAAAGAGTTCTCCGGTCACCATCCGTCACCTAAATTTTGGGCTGGGAAAGAAAGAAAACATGTACATGACTATATATATATATATACTGTATATTTATTTTCACTCATCTATCCATTTATCTATTTATCTATTTATCTATTTATCTATTTATCTATTTATCTATCTATCTATCTTTATTTCTTTCTTTCTTTCTTTCTTTCTTTCTTTCTTTCTTTTTTTCTTTCTTTCTTTCTTTCTTTCTTTCTTTCTTTCTTTCTTTCTTTCTTTCTTTCTTTCTTATCTATCCATCTATGTATCTATTTTTGTATTTATTGATTTATTTATTTATCTTTCATTTATTTATTTTTCTATTTCATATAAATATATATATATGACCCAAAATTTGGAGCAAAAAAAATCGGTCTCCACCATCCCACATTTCGCCCTTTGCTGCCCTGCATCCAGCTGAGATGTTCCAGCAACGCTCCGCGCGACAAGCCGCCCACCAGGGATGCCATGCTCAAAACCACGCCTGGACGCCGCGGTATCGTAGCAACGATCACAAAACATGACCATAATGGTGGTTAGTATGGTAGTCAAACATCACGATTATGGTTTTAGTGATTAGTATGGTAATCAAACTACTAATGTTGATCAACTAGTTTAGTAAGGTATAAGGGGATCAACATTTATAGAAACCCCCATTTAGTAATCAATCATATACCCTCTGGTAAACGTTGACAAAAAACGATGGAAAATCACCATTTTTAATGGGTAAATCCACTATTTCTGTGGCCATTTTCAATCGCTATGTAACAAATTACCAGAGGGTAATGATTTAAAAAAGAGGAAATCGTAATGTTAGTGACAAAAGAAATTGAGGTAATAAGAGTAATACTGGTGACAAAAATATTATGATAGTATGGTCAAATGAAAAAACAAAAATAGTAATAGATGATTCAAAAATAAAAATACATTTCTCTCAGAAATGGTGTGATCCGGATGAGAAATGTTGGTGTTTTTCGCAGCTCGAATATTTCGGACTTTTGGGTGCTGGAACTGAACCAGCATTTCGCGAAAACCAAATTCTCGATGGCTGAGCAGCAGAAAATGTGATCTGCTGAAATAGCAACGAGTATGGTTTATTTAAGTAAACCATGGTTTATATATCATAGTTATTTCTTCATATAACTGACAAATAACCATGGTTTACGATGGTGATATATATATATATATCAGCTATGATTGCTATAACCATGGTGAGTATGCTACACCCATGTTCAGTTATAATATCACTATGTTCATATAACTGAGAAATAACCATGGTTTACGATGTCCCCTTACGTGACCCTATTCAATAGGGTGTTTCTGTAGCTGGTTTCCCAAAAAGAATGGTAACCCGTTTGCACAGGTCCCAGCAAAAGAAAACCCAACTTAAATCCTGTCAAGAGGCTACATCATCCCCCTAACGCATGAAAAGAATCAGACCATCCGCAATAAAAACATCAGAAAACACCCCGGAAAAAATCACCATGTATCAATTGTACCCCCATATGCTTCATGTTTCAAACCCGTATAAATGACGGCGAAATCGCAAAATCGTGTTTCTTTGATGGTGAATCATCCCCGGTTTGGGGTCCTCAGTTTTGAGAAACCAACATGAATTTTATGCAGGAACCCCTGAAATATCCAGATAACAGCGTGTATTATGGTTGGTTTACCATTGCCAATTTTGGATGCCCTGCAAGTTTAGGGTTGGTTTGTGTACAATATCATGTAACACTACATCCGCATTCATAGCCACTGAAGTATTGAACTACCCATTCATTCAAAATTGATATCCTTATCTTTGTTGTTGAAACTAACATTATATTGCAGGAATTTTCATCCCTATAACATCCAGCCAGCCAGTTGACCCAAAATATCATACTGTTGGCCATAGATCCTGTAAAATACCTACGTCATGTTCCCCAAAAACGGTCGTAATCACGAAACACTCCACATAATCAACCATTCCCATGAGAATATTCAAGTAGTATAGTAGTATACGCTCAAATTGTTGGTGATACCTATCCAATATATTTCCGGAACATCATGAGCCTCAGCCTCCATTCAGGTTGTTGACCAAGTTATACCCATAGATGTCCTTTTCTTATTGGGTGGTTGTTTAATGGAAGTCATACAACAACCGCTATTGGTAGATGATAAGAAATCAATATACCAAATTGGCCCCGCAACAATTTTCTTGAAAGGACAATTTTTTCTCAACAATAATATATGCCCCGATGTTGTTGGTTATATAGTTATATACGCGTGTATTTATGTGTCTTTCTCTTTCTCTTTCCCACTTATTTTCGGAACATCATCATCCCCATTATCCACCCAGTCGGTTGACCTAGCCCCGCATCGATACCGCCACGCCTGCCACCACCAGCAATGCACTTGCGCACAGGACTTCCACACGATGAGTTTCCAGGCATGGGACCTAGGCGCGAATGACCTGGAGGTTCATCCCACTTCGGATGGCCCCAAATTAGACTAGTACAGTGATTAAACAAACCGTTTTTTGGGTGATACTTCAAAAGGGATAAGTGAGGCATTCAACAAATATTCCTGTTAAGTGTCACAATCCCAGCCTAAAAGGCTAAAGGCCAAGTTTAAAAAAAATGAAACAAAACATCAAGCTGAAAAATCAAAACCAAAAGGCAAAAAAGCAAAAAACAACATGCAATTAAGAAAAACAAAATAGAAGCAAAAATAATAGTAGACCCAGAAGTTGTCCAGACGCAATCCCCAAAAAAAACGGAAAAGGGCCAGCAAAACCAAAAAAAAATGTGTTGGTGTGGTTTTGGATTTTTGGTTTGTTTTCTGACGTGATTTTTTCTTTGCCTTTTTAGTGTTGTTTGCCTTTGTCTTCTGACGATTTTTGTTGTTTTTCCCTTGTGTTGTTCTCTGACAATGCTTTGGTTCTACCAGCATGTCAAAGAGCGGATGTCATCATGAAAGCAGTGGCCAAAACTCAACGTCGGTTTGGGCAACACGGAACATTGCACGGGCTCCCACATGCACAAGTCTCTGCAGGTCTCAGCAACCTACTTGCCTGTGACAATGTTTTGTTTTGGATGCGCATGAGAATCCACAACCATGTAAGCTCTAGAGCGTGTTAGGTGTTCTGCTGGGACAGGGCAGAGCAGAATTAGCTGAGACTGATGAAGTGATTTGAGGTCCATTGGGCGTAAACGATTAACATCTTCAATGGCCGAAAGAGAGACAGAATTACTATGAAAATCAACTTGCGCAAGTTACAGCGTAAGCCCAGCGTTTAGGTTCATGGCTCCCACTTGAATCCCTCGCCCAGTCCAAACTGATCACCTAGAGTTTCGTCTCATCTCTGATTTCTTGAATGCTTTTATCATTGTTCTGAGTCCGCATATGTGGTTTCACGTGAGTGGAAGCTAGCCCATCACTCCCCAGGAATTCCCAAACAGCATACATCTCCATCATAGCCATCAATGTGTCAGACATGTTGAGACCCCAAAAAGCATCCCCCAAAAGATAGCACAGGCCTAGGTTACCACTATTCAAGTAGGATTTTACTCTTCTACCCTTCTGGCCTTTTGGCGTTGTTCTTTTGCTTGTCTTTTCCTTTTTTCTCTTCTCTGTCTCTGTCTCTGTCTCTGTGTCCCTCTCTCTCTCTCTCTCTCTCTCTCTCATACACACATGTATGTACACAGTACATACCCCAGGCGTATTTGAGATCGATCCACCTTCTTGGCCAGGGCGCGCAGCTTAAATCCAAGAGACTTAAAAGTCTTAAGAAAGCTCAAACTTGCAAAGAGACAAGGGCTGTAAAGCACTCAAATGCAGGAAACCTTGAACGACAACTTCTGCCCCGAAAACACAAGTCCGAAGCTCTATCAGAGGGACTACCGTTATGTCGGAAGATGTGGGCGAGCCAGCCTTGTGACGTTGCGTGGGCAACGAAGACCTAGTCTTAAAGTCCTAAAAGCAATCTGTGCAGGAAATGCGTGTGTGTCTCGGCCTGGTGGTGCACGGGATTTCCGCGCGAAAACGCGAAAACACGAAAACGTGAAAACGGCAAGGAAAACGCAAAAACGCGAAAACGCGAAAACGCGCACGGAAGTACGAAAGCGCGAAAGCTGGACAGCTATCTCCGGACTAACGGCACGTCAATGCAATATAATTATATTGCGCTGCAATAGCAGTCTAGATCTGTGTTGCGCTGGGACTTCAGGTACAGAGTAGTGGAACGCAGGCTCCTGTGATGTGATGTAAAGATGTATTTTTACGCTATCTATCCATACTGCATTCCAGCCCTACCTACCTACCTACCTACCTAGCTAGCTAGCTACCTATCTACCGACCTACCTACATATCCATCCATACATACATCTAATCTAATCTATCTAATCTATCTAATCTATCTAATCTATCTAATCTAATCTAATCTAACCTAATCTAATCTAATCTAATCTGATCTAATCTAATCTAATCTAATCTAATCTAATCTAATCTATCTTTCTATCTTTCTATCTATCCATTTATATGTCTATCTATCCATTTATCTATCTATCTATCCATCTATCTATCTATCTATATCTATCTATCTATCTATCTATCTAGCTATCTATCTATCTGTCTATCTAGCTATCTATCTGTCTATCTATCTATCTATCTATCTCTCTCTCTCTCATCTGTCTATCTATCTATCTATTAAAAAAAAAATCTATCTATCTATCTATCTATCTATCTGTCTATCTATCTATCTATCGATCTATCTATCTATCTACCCATCTATCTATCTATCTACCCATCTATCTATCTATCTAAAAAATCTAATCTATCTATCTATCTGTCTTTCTATCTATAAAATCTATCTATCTATCTATAAAATCCATCTATCTATCTATCTATCTGTCTGTCTGTCTATCTATCTATCTATCTATCTCTCTCTCTCATCTGTCTATCTATCTATCTATAAAATCTATCTATCTATCTATCTATCTATCTATCTGTCTATCTATCTATCTATCTATCGATCGATCTATCTATCTATCTACCCATCTATCTATCTATCTACCCATCTATCTATCTATCTAAAAAATATAATCTATCTAGCTAGCTATCTATCTATCTAACTATATCTATCTATCTATCTATCTATCTGTCTGTCTGTCTGTCTGTCTGTCTGTTTCATTTAATTACCTATCTATCTATCTTTCTTTCTTTCTATCTTTCTATCTATCTAATCTATCCAATCTATCATATCCATCCGTCGATCTATCTATCTATGTAAGCTATGTATCTAAGCTATGTGTCTCAGCTGTGTATCTAAGCTACGTATCTATGTATTTCTGTGTCTATATATCTGTGTGTCTATGTGTCTAAGCTCTGTATCTATGAATCTATGTATCTTTGTATCCGCATATCTATGTGTCTATGTATCTATGCATCTATCCGTCTCTCTCTCTCTCTCTCTGTCTCTCTCTTTCTCGTCATCTCTCTGCCTATCTATCGATCAATCTACCAAGCTGTCTATCTATCTACCCATCCATCTGTATATCACCTATCTTCGCCTTATCTATCTACCTACCTGCCTACGTACCTCTCTATCTACCTATCTATCTATTTACCTATCTATCTATCTAATTAATCTAACCATTTATCTTTCTATCAATCTATCTATCTATCTTTCTATCTATCTAATTAATCTATCTTTCTATCTGTCTATCTATCTATTTATCTTTCTTGCCTCCATCGCTTGTCTAATCCTTCACAACCTTAAACTTTCTGTCATCCAATCTACCTGTATTTAGTGCTCGCATCCGTGTTTTAATCAAAATTTTGACGGACATATTTATGCATATTTCTGTAGTCTGCATTTATGTTCTCATCTATGCTGGCATCTTTGTTTGTTTGTAAGTATGTATCGAGGTGGTGCATTGCAATGCAAGCAAAAGAAAAAGTGGCAACATAATGTAACTGAACGGACTGTATTTATGCCTGTAGGCACGTGTGCATGCATGTACGGATGTATGTATGCATGCATGCGCCTCTCTTTGCATCGATCTTTGTATCTATTTATGTAGCTGGTGAAGCGCGTTGCAATATGATGCATGTGATGTAATGCCTTGTAAGTTCAACCAATATATATATATATATACATACGTCATGCGTATATATATATATATGTATGTATGTACAATAATTTACATACATGCACACTTATGTATGTAATGCAACGTATATGTGAGTATGCTTGGACGCATGGATGAGCGTGTATAATGTGAAATCCAGCATTGCGGTGATGTCGTACCGTTTCCTCAGTAGGCGAATGTATATCATTCTATATAATATCCAACAAATACAAATTCTTTCACATATCCGGATATCATGGGGAAATATGATGAAGATACAACGGAGAAATATCAACAACTTAAGATGATATTTGGGTGTCTCTGAAAACGGGGCATAGAAAACGGGCCATACCCCCAAATGCATCTTTCATCCTATTTCAATTGGAAAAGTGTTGATTAACCAGTTGATGTAGGGGTGCACTATTTTCAAAGAAACCCAAAACCATGGTAGATTACTCACTTCCATGCCGTTTCCACCGTTTTCGGGTATAAATGTCGGGAAAGAAATTCCATACAGCATTTGGGTAAATAGTTGATTTATTAAATTTATCCATTAAAAATGGTGATTTTCCATAGGTATGTTACGTATGTTAGTTTACCGGAGGGTAATTCAACAACATCCAAGGGAAGAAAAACAGGGTTCTGGGGTTGCAGATTGAAAACGAAACTAAGTTGGAATGTGAGCGGAGAAACAACGTTCAAAGCTACAGTATTTCTGCTGTGCAACCTGGTCCTACCCCGCGATGCAGGCACCTGGCACGTCTCGCACCACTTCGAGAGGACCTCCTCCTGTACAGTGACAACCCCTTTGTGAAACAGGATCACCAAAAGAACATATCACACACACACACATATATATATATGATATATTCATATGTTGCAATTCATCACCAGTCCGTCATCCCTCCCAGGTCTTCCCCCCTCCTTGGTGTATTCCCGCATGGCGTCCGAAACGGTGCACATCCCCTGCTTCACCTCACTAGACTTGATGCCTTTTGCTCTCCCACTGAGCTCTCCCAAAAAATGTAGATGTACAACAAACAATTAATGGATGTGAAACATCAACAAAGATTGGGCCCCAAAAAGATTGAAGACTTGCCATTGGATCCATTGGATCCATTGGTTAGAAAGTTTGGCTGTAAAACATCTGAAAACCGTTTGGCTGAATGGAGCTCAACGGAGGCAACAAATGAACGATGGACAGCCACAATTCTGGGATGCTCCGCTCCTTCAGAACGTGAACCCATGATGTGAAGTTGATGCAAGCTCTTGAATGTGATGAATATCATACAAGCGGATGCCCTTACTTACCCCATCCACCTAGTAG